GCACGAATGGATCTTGGTCTTAAATTTTGTAGCCATGTTTTAGCTTTATCTTTTAATGAAAAAGGAAAAAGCTTTAATCTGATGGTGTTCATGCTACAATTTAAATTATTATATGTGTTGCAGACCTCTTCAAATTCCCTTAAATGCAAGTATGGATTTTCCAATTCTAAACCATGAAAAGAAGGTAAAAGTTGAATAATACCTGGTTTAAAATTAAAATGAGATGCATCGAGAGGAAAAACTATACATGATGGTGCACTTGTTCTTGTGGGATTCATGTGGTCTCTAAGTGTTCTAGCACGATTATTCTCATTATTTTCATTATGAAGTGATTGATTATCTTCTTCGACCATATTTTCTGAAAATGATGAGGATACCCTACAAAGTCTACCACTTGATGTACGTGACCACACTCTCATGCACGTGTAGGAATAGAATAAAATGAAAAAGAAAACAAAAGAAGAAGAAACAAGAGAGAAGAAACAAAGTTATATACAAGAAAAGTGAAAAGTGAAAATAAAATAACTACTATAATTTATACAAGAACATACCTCCCCGGCAACGGCGCCAAAAACTTGACACGACGAAAAGATTGTTGTCTTCTCCCAAGTGCAGGAGTGTCGAAGTAATAAATAACCCGGCAAGACCGGGGTCGAACCACAAGGACGTTAATTGTACAAATTATAAACAACAATTATAAAGCAACAATAATAACAACAACAATAGTAATAATAATAATAATAATAGTAGTAGTAGTAGTAGTAGTAGTACTAATAATAATAATAATAATAATAATAATAATAATAATAATAAAGAAAGAGAAGAAGAAGAAGATGATGATGATGAGAACTTAGAGATGAAATATTAATGTAAGGATTAAACAATAATAATAACAAATGTCAAGGTTAGAGGTTCCACTAATGGTATATCAAACAAGTATAGTATAAACTCTTATTATTGAATTGGAAACCACACACAAAGGAGGTTCCAATCAGATTATATATTGTTAACATGATTACATTAGTCATCTTATTCAAATATATTGTTAGCATGATTACATTAGTCATCTTATTCAATTAATGCTAATACTTGTAAATCTCATCAAGCATTCATGATTATAACTTATGTTAACAACAAATCAAGTTCCTTTCATAGCTCAGGTGTCGGTTATACCATACATTATGGGCTATGAAAGTGCCAAGCATTTGTTGTACCAAGTGTTATACAACATAAATCAAGATTAGTCATTTAACAAGCAAAGTATTAAAGAGTGAACAAGATAACAAATATAAAACATGTTAGTATCATGAACAAGATAACAAATACAAAACATGTTAGTATCAAGCATTAAAGTCCATATTAAGTTTACATTATACTTATTCTTACACCATTAGTGTAAGCTTTTCACCTTGACATAACTAACTTAGCTAGACATAATGAAAGAAAGCAAAATAGATAAACAAAATAAGAACATAAAAGTTAACTAAGTAAAGGAAAGGAAATGAAAGGCATAAACTTAATATTAATGAAAGCAAAGCATAAACATTACAAAAAATACAAAGAGAGAAAGGAAGAGCATGATCTTGATCTGGAAACCAAGATGCCTAAATGCATGGCAAATGCCTCCTTTTATAGGCCAAAATTGGGAACTATTGATTTGATGACTAATTGATGAGTGGGTGGCCACCTCTTGACTTGGTGACAATCCTTATCTTTTCTTGTCTGCCCAAAATGTCATTGATAACGTCAAAATTGGAACCACTTGCAACATGAAAGTTGTAGGCAATTGTCTCAGCTATCTTGTGTAAAACATTCAGCTCATTTGGACTTCTAGAACTCCAGATATGGCCAAAATACCGAACAGTGCTCGGGCTGGAAGACAGATTCGGGCTTCTTTGTTGTTGCTACAATTTGGACTTGAAAATGGCCTTTTTAGATCTTGGGCTCCATATGAAAGTTGTAGGCCTATGTCTTACCTTTCCATCCATATAAATTGGACCTAAATCTGAGATATATAGCTCCAGATATGACCCAATTACCGAACAGTGTTCCGGTTTAGATTGCACCGACATCTCTTTTCTATTTTTGGCCATCTTTTTATTCTTGCAATTTAAGTTCTTCAAGTCATCAATCAATCCTTTCATTTATGTGATAGACCTGCATTAAAAATAGACATTTACCACAAATTATAGGTATCTTATATTATTAGATACACTATTATAAAACATATTTTAGTTAAGGAGTTATTGATATTTCAAGTGCAAAATGATGATATAAAACCATGATAAAAATGCACTTTTAAGTACTAATCACCCATCCTTCATCTCTGTTTTAAAATTATAAACCATTTATGACATCAATTGCTGAAGACAAATCAATCACCTTTTATTGACTCAATTTTACTTGTGCCCAAGATTGCAAACCAAATAAAAAGTTGAATAATTTGTCCTTTTTAGACATGTTCTTAATGTACAAAATTAGATAACTAAGATCTTTCACATATTCTTGAACCAATTTGTCCCATTTCAAATCTTTCCTTGCAATTTTGGACGTATTATTTGATAGAAACTATTCTTTTATTCTTTGCTTAAAATGCACCCAAGTATCAATCTTTGATCATCTCGTATTCAAATCCTCTCTAATTTTGGTCCTCCACCATAGTTTTGCATCATCCAACAAGTACATCATGGTGATATTCACTTATTCACCCATATCAATCTTAGTAACATTAAAGTATTGTTCTATATCCCACATATAATTTTCCAACTCTTTGGAACTTCTCCCACCACATAATGGATTTGGCTCTAATAGTTTTACTTTAGATGTGCCACCACCCTTAGGAATGTTTGTTATTGCCCTCTTCAAAACATAAATTTCATCCTCAACAACCTACACTTTTTAGCTTGTTTCTATAGTGAATTCCATATACTTCTAGTAGCCTTTTCTATAATATCCATATCCAATTATAATTTCCTATTAATATAGCAATCTACATGTTCTAAGATTGGCCTAATCAAACCTTTTAGACGTGTCAATGTCTCTCAAATTGATTCCATACCTGATGGCATGTGAAGTCAACCACAAGTTTCAGAAACTTACTAGCAATAGCTTTCACAAAACAACCAAATATCATTTTTAGCATGTAACAATGCTCTAATATCACTTGTTACAAGGTTAAATTTTCATCAAAATCTGAATTTTTATTCTTATGTAGTAGTCTAGTTTTCCTCTAGACTCAACCTATCTCACAATTCAACTCATGTTTGGCCTATAAACTATGTTTCACATACCAAAAGACTTTCCCTAAGCTCGTACAAGTTATAGACAAACCACAGCAACAAAAGTACATGAATTAGAATCACAAGCATAATTACAATAAAAACTTCTAATCTTTATTAATACCAATAACAAGGATCCACAAAATTCTATGTGTGCAATGCACAATATATTGCATTCTACATAACTCTAGCTTCTATTTATATTACAAAGAATACAGGAGTTACATAGAAACTACCCTAACACAAATCTAAACAAATGTGGACAGTGCTGTCCAAAAACAGTAATTGCTGAAAATTGTGGCCAACTGCCAATTATTGTAACTTGTCTTGATCTGCCATCCATCAAGCAAATCAGTTGAACCCTCTTTACCAGCTCATACATATATTGAACTCCTCACCATCAGTCTAAAGTCTTGTCTGGTATGAATTCGCTACTCATACACACTTGTTATGCACTGCTATCTAATTTACCTCTGCCCACGAGTATTGTCACTGTCCACACATGCTGTTAAGATCTCAATAGTGTTTTACGAGCAAACCCTCGCACCCAGACCTGGGACACATGTATTGATTATTAAATGAACGAACATTATATCGAGCCACAACCGTGCCAAATTAACTTTACATTTTCTTCTTTACTTTTTGTGACCTAGAGCCAGTAGTGGAGTGGTTCCGGGAGAAGAAAATGACAATGAGAATATGGTTACGCGATTTTCAACCCCTACTCCTACTCAATTTGCACCCATCAGCTGTTTTAACTTGCTGCCATATCACAAGTTGAAGCAGTGATAATCTTTCGTGTGATTCCATGTCCAAAGGCGTACTTTTTCTTTCATAAATATATCTTTTGGCTTTGGAGTTCGCCACCACACTATCACTACTTATGTTATTCAGGTAAGAGGATGATCGGGCTAGACTCAAGAAAAGGACATATAATCCAACCGGCTATAGTTTAGGCAATGGATCATAGAACCCATGCATTTGTCTCTATGAAGTTAGCCAAAATAAATAAATTTCATATTGTATGGTTTTTCCTTGAGAGAAGATTTCTCAATCACGAAAAATATCTAAAATTAAAGAACTTGTTTGAAAACAAAAATAATAAATACATCAATATTATAACTATTTTTAATAAAAAATAACAAAATCATAATTTATAACAGTCATCTTAATATTTTATATTCTAGTTATAGAGTATTAATTTTATTTCATCTAGATTAAAAAAATTTAATGAAAAAATTTATATTTTTAACTCAAACCATCTTCATATTAGATTTATCAGAAATTAAATTTATAAAACTAATTAAATATAAAAAAGTAATTTTAATCTTTTGAATTGCTAGAAAATACTTTTATATAAAAGGAAAAAAATGTTTCATTCGTGTTTTTTCATCATTTAAAAAAAATTATAAAACATTTGTATTAAAAACTATGAATAACCTTTTAAAATATATTTCTTAAACTTAGTATAAAGCTAAAAATAAACTATTTTTTTAGTTTTTTAAATTAAAAAATATCTTATTTGAACGAGAAGTTTCATTTTTTTACTCAACTTTTTTAAACAAATTAAAATATTATTTTATTTATGACTCACCTAATCTCACTTTTGTGCCAAACGAAATCCGAACAATAAATGTTCATAGAAATGGTTCAGCTAGAGAAATTCTTGATGAAAAAGAAGGTACATCGACTCCTCTGTTACAAGATATATTTATATAAAACCCACCTCTCCCCCCTCTTCTTCGTTTCTTAACTTTAAAACAATTTTTCTTCCATGAAATCCTTCCCGAATTATAAGAAAACCAGGAAGAATGAGCTCCCTGATACTCTCAATAAAACGTTGTTGCCAGGCCTACCCGACCACCTTTCTCAAAACTGTCTCACTTCTCTCCCACCTTCCGTTCTTTTCTCTGTATCCCATGCATGGCGGCGACTTCTCTATTCTTCATTTTTCGCCCCATTCTTTTCCCTTTACGCCCTTCTCTCTGCATCATCGTCGTATCCTACCACAAAAGACAATCAAGTGGATAGAATCAGTTCAATTGAGCTCATGTCATTTGACCCTATATCATCATTATGGCGATCAGTCCCTAGTATTCCAAAAGATCCCCCACTCGACCTCCTCCACCGACACCCATCCTTTTTATCAAGAAAGCTCTCAGTACAATTCCTAACAGTCTCTAACCATCTTGTTCTTATATCTGGCACCACTCACCAGTTTGTCCCAGCACTGTCTAGGCCATTAGTTTTCCATCCAGAGTCTAACAAGTGGTTCTTTGGTCCTCCGTTCACTAGCCCTCGGCGTTGGTGTGCCACTGGCTCTGTGGATGGAAGGGTTTACGTGGCGAGTGGGGTTGGTCCACGGTACAGTGGAGAAGTAGCTAGATCAATGGAACAATGGGACTTCAGGCAACAAGTTAACCATTGGAGATGGGAAAACATGGCACAACTGAAAGATGGTAGGTTTAGCAGGGAACCTATTGGGGCTATAGGTTACAAAGGCAAGCTTTACATGGTCAACGTTAAAGGCAATGCACCGAAAGAAGGTTTGGTTTATGATGTAGAAGAAAACCAATGGAATGATATGCCTAGAGGGATGCTAGCTGGATGGAATGGACCAGCAGCTACAATGAATGAAGATGCTATCTATGTGGTGAATGAAGTAACAGGAGTTTTGAGTGAGTATGATTTTAAAAAAGATTGTTGGAAGAAGGTCATTGAATTGTCACAGCTTAAACTCGCTGAGCAGATCGCCGCAGGAAGAGGGAGAGTTTGTGTGGTTTGCGCGAATGGGGAGACGATTGTTGTGGTGGATGTGATGGTGAGACCTGCACGGTTTTGGGTGGTGGAGCCACCGCAGGGACAGCAAGTAGTTGGACTGCATATATTGCCCAGGATGAGTAGCAGCTACTAGCGTGTTTATAAGCATTAATGACATGCTTTGTAATGTTGTCCACTTAGATGTTTGGTTGATTTTAAAGCATAGATTTCCTGCAGGAAGAAAACTCCATTTTAAATTTGCAACTTCATAAGGAATTGTGATCAGCTAAATGCTTCGAGGAATCAAAGAATGTTTGTCTTGCAAGGGAATGGCAGAAGAGCAGGGATGTTTTGTCTTGCCTGTGTATTTACTTCCTGTACAGTTCTTTCCTTCTATGTGTAATCAATAGGGTATGAGTTCTCATACTAGCCTGTGCTCTTAAGAAATATATGCCTTTGGTGAATTTTCTTTCCCTGCACAATCCTATGATTTCCTGCGTTTCAAATCTCATCTAGTTCTTCGGGATAATGTGGTTTGGAAATCTTGATCTAGATATAATTTCATTTTATGACCGGCGGTTATAAGTAAGCTGCAAATTTGTTATAAGCTTCACTTCCGCGACTTGATTCTTTGTGTATTTTCTATCAAGTAAGTTTAAAAAGAGTTCTACAATCATCTATTTTCCAGGATGATAAAATTTTGGCTTCATCTATATAAAAAAATGTCAACCATTAATATTGCAATTCAAGACCTTTCTTCTAGCAGAAACAACATTATTAGTAGAATAAAAAAAGTCTCCCTTAATATTCTTATTTATTTGGGCTAAGATTGACATTGAAACCTTGAGTGTTTAATGGTTGAAGTTTGCACACAACATAAGGCAAGTTTGGGCTTGAAATAAATCATATGATATTCTTTTCTAGAATTGGAATAGAATTGATTTTTGGGACAAATTTGGAGCACTTATTTGAACCAAGATTTGCTTCAATCTTCAACTAAATGTCTCTTCAATTCTTTGTTCTGAATTCCGACGTTGAATTTTGTGAATTAATTCATTTAAGCTCCAAAAACCTATCGAAACATTAAAACAAACTTCATTACTAAAAAACACATCAATTATTATAAAAACAACCAAATAAAAACAATAAATACATATGTAAAATAAGAGACTTAATGACACTTTTGATGCACAATCACATTACAAAAAATACGAAGAGAGAAAGCAAGAGCATGATCTTGATTTGGACATCAAGATGCCTAAATGCATGGCAAATGCCTCCATTTATAGGCTAAAATTGGGAACTATTGATTTGATGACTAATTGATGAGTGGGTGGCCAACTCTTGACTTGGTGGAAATCCTTATCTTCTCTTTTCTGCCCAACACATCATTGATAACGTCAAAATTGGAGCCACTTGAAAACATAAAAGTTGTAGGCAATTATCTCAGCTTTCTTGTGTAAAATATTCAACTCATTTGGACTTATAGAACTCTAGATATGGCCAAAATACTAAACAGTGCTCGGGCTGGAGGACAGCTTCGGGCTTCTTTGTTGTAGCAATAATTTGGACTTGAAAATGACCTTTTTAGATCTTGGGCTCCATATTAAAGTTGTAGGCCTATGTCTTACCTTTCCATCCATATAAAGTAGACCTAAATCTGAGATCTATAGCTTCAGATATGACTCAATTACCAAACAGTGTTCCGGTTTGGATTGCACCAACATCTCTTTTCTAATTTTGGTGATCTCTTTGCCCTTGCAATTTAAGTTCTTAAAGTCATCAATCAATCCTTTCATTTATGTGATAGGCCTGCATTTAAAATGAACATATACCACAAATTAAAGGTATCTTATATTATTAGATATATTATTATAAAACATGCTTTAGTTAAGGAGTTATTGATACTTCAAGTGCAAAATGATGATATAAAACCATGATAAAAATACACTTTTAAGTACTAATCACACCCCCCAACAAGCTTATTACTAGTCTTTAGTAATCAAAATGTTAAAATAGAAAAACAATTTGCAAATTCCACAAAGCAAGGTATTCATCATTTAACTTCCATTAATCTATCCAGATAAACAAACTCTCGTTAAATTTATATATCTGCTCAATACCTGTTAACAAGATATTAATAAACCTTTCTTTTGTGCTTAATGTAACAACACATAATTACGGGGCTTTTCTTGGAAGAAAACAAAAGTTTTGTTCTAATATTTAAGGTTAACTTCCTTGGGTTGGGATTATTATTTTTGTCTTTTTTTTTTTAAATATATATACATATAATTTAAAAACACCATGCATCTTTAACCCATGTAACGAGCTTTCAGCTAATGACTCCCAGACCAGTTGATCTTAGGGCATTAGGTGTTAAGACACTCCTACGAGCTTAGTAACTCGGGTCGTAGATACTGATACGTAGATAGTGCAATGTTTGATTTCCTTAAGCTTTTCTCCTCAACCCATGTAACAAGTGTTGGGCCAATAGCTCCCAAGTCAGTTGACTTTAGGGTATTAGGTGTTAAAACACCCCTTCGGGCTTAATTGCTTAGGTTAGGGAGGCTACGAAACCAAACTTATCTACATTTTTATTATTATCATTTTCTTTCTTTTCTTTTCTTTTCTTTTTTTAAATTATATACAATCCCTTTCCCTTAGTTGTTACCTTTAACAAAAGAACATAAATAACGTAATAATCCAATGTGCAACCCACAATCATATGTTAAAGTGTGTGTGTGAAAATTAAGGTTTAAGAATACATGTTAAATGAGTATATGAGCAGAATTAAGTGATAATAATGCGAGAGTTTGTAAATCTGAATATTTCAAGAAGTATTATAATAGACCTTGTTAAGAATGGTTACTAAGATGCGTCTCAAGAGTCACTTTAACAAAAGAGCTCATTTACTCTGTCATCCTAGTAACAACAATTATGCACATGCTTTATGAAATGGAAAATATTTTTTTTTTTTAACTAATACCCTCTCCCCCCCAACTAAAACAAGACATTGTCCTCAATGTTCTAAGGTAGAAAGATAGACTATAGAAGATATCACCTGAAATAATGAGCATTGACAAACCTGAAACACACTTAAACAAAAATAAAAAATAACAAAACAAAATAATAAAACAAAATAACACAAAAATTACAAATGAAGACTCAAATCTAAGCTAAGCTTTTTACGGCTTTCCTTAGATGACCAATTTATGCAATTCATGGAGGGATTAATTACAGGAATGAAAGATTGTAGTTGGTCAATCAATTGTTTAGCAGTAGCAGTAGAGATTATGATTTGTCTTGTAGAAGATGTTAGAAATTCCTGTTCCACAGCATGATCAAGATAAGACAACAACTTATCATAATAACCATTAACATTTAACAAACCTATGGGTTTATGGTGCATGTGCAGTTGAGCCCAAGAGGAAATATAAAAGATCTCTTCCAATGTACCTAGACCACCTAGTAAAGAAATGAAGGCATCAGCATGGTTAAACATTGCATTCATTCGAGCTGACATTGTGGAGACTTGAAGTTCCTCTCCAATTGTTTTTCCAATGATGTCCCCTTGTGCTAAAGCTTCGGGAACAACCCCCAAAACTTGACTACCTCCTAAAAATGCAGCTATTGACACACCTCCCATTAACCCAAGACTACGTCCCTCATACACTAAATGAATCTTTCTCTCAGCTAGCACTTGACCAAGATGATTTGCTGATTCTAAAAACTCCTTTTCTTTCCCAGGACTAGATCCACCAAAAACACAAATATTTCTTATATGATGACTTGAGGAACTTGCCATTTCTACACACTTCTGTATTTGTTGAATGTATGGGTTGAGTAGAAATGAAAGGAAGGAAGAGAGGGTTTTATAGATGAGAAATTAGAAAGGAAATCATAACACCTATATGTAGGCTAGCTGGAGTCTCACTCTCTCTCTCTCTCTCTTTATTTATTTATTTATTTACTTTTAAAAAAAAGCATGTGTATGTACATGTAGTTATGATTGTGGCTCACATCTTCCTTTAGTTTTACGTCCAAGAACGGCTTAAACGCCCTCTATGGGTTGGGGATAGGTTTTCCATCCAGTTTTCTTAAAAATTGGCAAATAGGGTCTTTTTTAGTCAGATTCCCAAGACTAAGTCAATCATGTTCTTTATGAAATAGTGGCCATAAATCATGAATTACACGATGTACATCTCCACTAGGATGCGTCTCAAGAATCCATAGAAGATTATCTAAAGACTCCTTACTCAGGCCATCCTTAATGAATTGTATTTTATCTTCACGGTTTATAGATACCATTCCTAAAGAACGACATTATGTATTACAAGTCCATCTAGCACATCGATGACAGACTTCTAGTCGTTTTGCACGACGTTTCTTTGCAAAAGTGCTTTTACCTGTTCTAGGCATGTGTGAAATAAAGAAATTAGAGAACTCACCTGATAATCGGGCCTTTGCTTCAATCAACCAGCGAATATCTTCAGGAATTCCATGATTCATTAACAATCTCAATCTGACACATCTAGCACGGTAAATTTTTGTAATCGCATTCTGAGGTAGAGCGGGAAAATACTTTTTCAATTTTTCAAGATTAGTGTCCATTTTCAAATGAGAATTGGAAGAGAGATTCAAAGAATTGCACAAATATATACACAGATATCAGTTATTGTAGGAAACTGAAAGAACCGACTTAAGTCACGGAGTACCGTTATCCGCCATTTGACCGGGGTGAGAGAAACTAGCAAAAATCACTCAAAAAGAAAAAAAAATCAATCTTTATATACAGGATCACCTAATTCAATAGAGTCATGTTCAACTGAAAAATTGTCAAAGTAAACTTTCAGACGATGTCCATTTACCTTGAAAACATTGTCATTCTTTGGATTCTCGATGTCAAAGGCCCCATATGGATACACATGTTTCACAATAAAAGGACCGCTTCATCTTGATCTTAATTTTTCAGGAAATAAATGTAGTCGAGAATTATAAAGCAAGACTTTTTTACCAACATTGAATGTTTTTCTCTGTATTTTCTTGTCATGAAACTCTTTAATTCTTGCTTTATGAATTCTTGAATTTTCATATGCATCATTTCTTATTTCCTCAAGCTCATTTATTTGTAATTTTCACAGTTGACTAGCATCATCCAGATTTGAATTGAAAGCTTTAATAGCCCAATAAGCTTTATGTTCAAGTTCCACAAGCAAGTGACAAGGTTTTCCATAGACTAGTCTATAAGGTGACATACCTAATGATGTTTTATAAGCAGTTGGATAAGCCCAAAGTGCATCATTAAGTCTTAAAGACCAGTCTTTCCTATTAGGGTTCACTGTTTTCTCCAAAATATGTTTGATCTCCCTATTAGCAAGCTCTACTTGTCC